ATTATCTCCAACAACATGTAAGAATTCTACTAAGTAAATTTATTAATATAACTCCAAGTACTAAATACATCATACTAAAACAACATGTAAATAACATTAGTAAAATTATAAATCATAATCATACAGTACATGTATGACTGTAAGTTTCTGAAATAAAAGATACCAAACATACTGAATGTCGTTATGTTCATTAGACTCAATACATCACATCCAGCAAAATAAATTTACTAATCCGGCTCCAACAGTGACTTTATTTGTCCATATCAGTAGCCTGCTAAGCTCAGTGTACTGTTTATTCCAAAACAGCCTATAGCACCTTCCTGTGCATCCTGTTCTTTTCCTCCTTGCTGTTGTGCTATCCACCCCTCCACCCGCATCTACCTGCCGGAGAATAGCTGTGCATGCCTTGGGCAACCATTCAGGATTTTGATTTCAAGCTGATCATTGCTCTGGCTGTGGCAAGGACCACAAGGAGGCTACATGGGATTCTGGTGACAGCAGACATTGCTATGGCTGCGGCAAGGACCACGAGGCTACATGGGATTCTGGTGACAGCAGACATTTCTCTGGCTGTGGCAAGGATCACAAGGAGGCTACATGGGATTCTGGTGACAGCAGACATTTCTCTGGCTGTGGGCAAGGATCACAAGGAGGTTACATGGGAATCTGGTGACAGTAGACCAGGAGGTGAGTATCTGTTTTCTAAATTCAGGTCCAGCCTGTCTCTAAATTTTGGTCTTGGTCATTCCTTTGATTTCCTCATGTCTACTAGATACCCCTGGTTTGAATTTATATGTTTCAATATCTAGCCCTATCTCTTGGGCTGACTGCCATGTTTCTCATTTACCTGTGTTTTATTCTTTGCACCGTGACCCATTAACTTTTGCAGTGCATATTTCAAACCACATGACAGGCAGTGGTTACCTTGTCCAAACCCAAGTGCCTACTGTGTGAGTCACAACCTTCTTACATCTGTATTACTCATACTTATCAATTGCATGCCCACCGGACCCTAATTTTAACTCAGAAGAAAATTTCATGAGAATCTGTTTATCACTTCTCAAATTGTTTCATACATACCAATAGACAAAGAGAGAGAATTTAATGAGTAATCCACAGGGATGCATCTGAAACTTAACACAATTATTTCTTACACACAACTTGTAGTTCCAATTAAAAGACACACCCCATTACAATTTCCTTATTTAAATATCCAAGACCCCTGACCTCTGACTTCATGAAAGAGTGCTGAAGGTATTTTAATAATCTCGGTCGTCCATGAAAATGTGCATAAGAGACATATAAAGAAGCCTCACAAACCCATACTGTAAAACTAAATGAAGAATTTCAGAATAAGAACAGGCTGCTATGTGATGCTGGACTGCAATGGGTTAACTACTATTTAAAACGGGGCCATAAGGAATACGTTCTCTTTCAGAAACTATGGGAGTGTACTCACAAAATCTACTCTGTCCTCTGCCAGTGATGAGGGCAACAAATTTTGGACTGAAATCATCTCGAAAAATGGTGAAGGCCAGGCATGTATCTGTGACTGCATACCATGATCATTCCATGAGGTGCTGCAATAGAAGAAAACACCTGCATGATATAACATAACAAATGGTTTTATTTAGGTTGTGCCTCACCCAGAATACCTGTCATCTTCCCAACTTCATTCATTCATCTGTAATCTGTCAAGACGACAGGTCCGCAGTCTCTTCCAAAACAGTTCCTCCACTTGATGCGATCTAGAGCTTTCTCCTTCTGTCCACAAGGTCATCCAGCATCTTCTTACTTCTTCCTCCTCGTCTTCTGGTCACTTCTATCCGCCCCTCTATCTTTCCTTCAATAACCTTCCCAACTACTGTTATTTTAGTTCTGTTTCAGCTTCACTTTGAAACTATTCCAGTTATGCCCTTAACAAAAGACGGAACTTAATATTTAAAAACATTCAACAACAGAGAGGGAGAACACAAGCCTTTCCATTATTGTACTTTTCTATGGACAGAACTGTACTCTACACAAATATCTAATAATGACTTAAATATTCAAAACTGAAACCAGTGCATAAAAAAGTGAAAAGTCTTGCGTATCGGGCCAACTTCATTAATAAAAGTATTATACAAAAACATTTAAGGAGGTACATAAAATGTATACAAAAGTATGCAGTCTACACAACAATGAATGAATGTATGAGGGGTAGGTCTTCTCGGCCCTTGCACCGCGGCCTACAGTGGTCTATTGTGCTTTCCCCTTTTTCTTTTTTAATTATCCCTTCAGCAACCCCGCGCTTCGGATGAAGCATAGGATTTTGAATGTGGGGACATCAAAATAGTCTAAGCTAATGCCTCACATTCACACAGGATATGTGTGGCTGTTTCGTTTTCTTCCTGACACCTTTCACAAGTGGGACTATCATGTAGTCCCAGTTTGAATAGGTGTCCTTTGAGGTGGCAGTGTCCTGTAAGTAGTCCTGCCACTCATCATAGCTGGATCCTGTTTAACTTCAACAGTTCCTGCACTCGTTCAGTAGAGGGTCCTCATATGAATCCAGTTGCTTGCCTGAGTCCAATTAAGGATCCCCAGTTTTTCTTGTGTTTCATGTTACTCCAGCCTCTGATTGCCTGTGTGGAAACTCCTATAGAGATGCCACAGGCTGGTTCAGGTCCTATGAATGGATGTTCAGCTCCAATCTGAGCTAATTGGTCTGCTGTTTCATTACCAGCAATACCTTCATGCCCCGGTACCCACATCAGTTGTACCCTGTTATGTTTGGCCAGTTCCATGAGGGTTTGGGGGCAATCGCAGACCAATTTTGAGTTTATCTGGTGTTTGTCAAGCGCTTTAAGTGCGGCTTGGCTGTCAGATAGAATGTAGTTTTTCCTATTTCTATAGTTCCTATCTAAATTTCCATAATACATGCCTTAATGGCATATACTTCTGCCTGGAATACTGTCATGTATTGCCCAAGGCCGAAACTAAGTTTCTGCCTTGTGCCATAGCAGTACACACCAGCTCCAGTGCCTTTATTTATCTTGGAACCATCTGTATATCCGATCAATCCCCCTTTTCTATCGGGCCGAAACCCGTGTTCCCATTCACTCCTGTCAGGAAATTTGACCGTGAAGGGTTTTTCATATACATGTATCAGTATCATTTTGTCGGACCCCATTTGTAATATGGGTTCTTTTTTCATGTCCTGAGTTATGTATGCATGGCCAAAACCAGATCTAGGTTTCCATTGTTCACTGCACTGGAGACGGTAGATTCCTGCCCTGGCCTCTGCCTCCAACTGTAGATGCAGTGGTGGGAGTCCAAGGAGTATCTCTAGTGCAGCTGTTGGAGATATTCGAATTACTCCTGTGACACCTAAGCAAGCCAACCTCTGCAATTTGCTAAGTTCTGTCTTGCTTTTCTTGAGTTTGACTCTGGGCCACCATACTGTGCCACCATAAGGAATTATGGGTCTCACAACCGCAGTATATATCCAATGCACAACGTTTGGTTGCAGTCCCCATGTTTTACCAAACATGCTTCTGCATGTCCAAAAAAGCCTTATAGGCTTTATTAATGAGCTTGTCCAGCTGCTTTTTCCATGTCAGTCCCTTGTCTAATTCTAGACCAAGGTACCTGACATAGCTGGAGAGCTGGATTGTCTTATTGAAGAGAATCGGTTCCTTAAGACCCTTTACATTTCTCTTCCTAGTAAACAGTATAATTACCGCCTTGTTGGGATTGATGGAGAGACCTGTTCTTTCACACCATCGTTGGACCATGTGCAGAGCTGTTTGAACACACTCTGATACGGTCGAAAGGAATTTTCCATTTATGAGGATTGCTATGTCATCAGCATATCCTACTGTATAATACCCATCATCATTAAGTCCCCACAGGAGATCTTTGACGACCAGGCTCCACAGCAGAGGCGAAAGTACGGCCCCTTCGGACGTCCCCTAGCCCCCAGGGTCTCTCCCGATAATGTAGCAGCTATGGTTCTGCTTTCCAGCATAGCATTGATCCATCTGCATATTGCAGGCTCTATGCCATGCCTTCCAGCAGCCTGTTTGATTACATCAAATGAGGTTCTATCAAAGGCTCCCTCTATATCAAGGAATGCTCCAAAGGCAATATCCTTGTGTTCAATTGCACTTTGTAGGCATGTTTGTTTCGGTGTACAGGATATGTCCTCAATACCCTGTCCCTGATATACCTATCCACTATTTTCTCCATTGTTTTCAACAAGAAAAACGACAGGGTAATAGGACTATAAGCCTTAGCCTCAGTATAATTAAGTTTCCCAGGCTTTGGGATAAACGTCACCTTAACTTGCCTCCAGGCTACACAACAACAGTCTGTATTTAAAACAAAGTAGACACTATCGTATAAACATTGGTTTCATTGACGCTACATGTTTCAACCCTTATACTGGGTCATCATCAGGCATTCAATGATACCAGACTCAGTTGTTGAATTGCATCAAACAATTTACATCTAATTATGCAATAAGGATCCTTATTGTGCACTTGAGTGTTCTTAAATGCATAAATTGAGTCTTTCAGTTAAATACTCAGATAATAAAAATTAAAAAAATTAGAGACTAAAGATTAAAACATAAAAGTAAGAAGTAAAGATATCCATGTAACAGGCCGTGAAGGACCATAGGGTTCTGAGACGTTGAGGGTCCCACATTATCTAGACAATCAGCTCAAAGATGGCGGTAAGGTTGTCAGCCTTACACGCCGGCCGCACTTTGCTCCCCAGGAAAATGATTTAAGTAATTCCTGGTACTCATTTCTGTTAGAGGCTGAGTCGACCCCATTGCCATAGTGCGGCTGGAAGGATTAGGTCAACTGAAAAAAATCCAATGACCTCATCGGGACTTGAACCTGCGACCTTCCAGCTTGTAGCATAGTGCTTCAACCAACTACGGTACCATGTGATTAGAACATAAAAATTGTACTAAAATGGAAATGAATTTTGTGATAAATCTAAAACTTTGTGACTGCCACGTGTTGACGTGATTTTCTGGTGGTAGAAGCGACTACAGTGTGGGGTGCCTGCATATAAGGATCTTCTCACATAAGTTAGGTCATGTAGTCTTTACTTTACTATTGTCTTGTGGAGCTTATGCTCATTATTCTGTATGTCACCCAACAGGTTAGTCTCTACAAATAACTGATGTACGCCAATGCCTTTATGAAGTATCTGATCTGATCACTAGTTGATCTGTTACATAAAATCCTACGCTGATGATACCCTATAATTTCATCTATATACGGACTTGATCTTGACAGATGATATTGGATAAAATTATATATATACATGCAAGTAATAATGATTGTTCTTCAATATAACTCTGTGTTATAAGAGATGGCTGTAGATATGTAAATAGTTGTTACAACTTTGTATTTATATTTATATTCATTGTCTACTAGTACTGTATTTGTAATATGACATGTTCTACATTCTTGGTGTATACCTATGCAGGATCTACAGAATGTAAATAAATTCTGCTCTAATCATGAGGATCTATAAACCTGCTTGTCAACCATACTTCCCTCAAAATTTGCAGACTTTAACGTTTTACCGCATTATGTAAATTTACTGCATACTGATGATAAAAACAACAGCTTATTCAAATATCCTCTATGCCCCGCATCCTATTCTTATCATCTGAGCAAGGGACATTCAATTTTGCCATGTTCTATGGCAATGCAAGTGGCAACTCTACTGTACTCAAAAAGGATTAATAAATAACTGTCCATTTCCTTGTTTTAGTTCCTGGTTTTTAACGATGATTATGACAATACCTCAAATTCTGTTGCTCTCAGCTGTCCAAAAAATACTTTCTGCATTAGATTTCCCATCAAGATTACCAAGATGAATGCCTGGATATATTACCTGTAAAACAAAAACATATGACAATACATACACATGCATACACACATGAAAACCATAATCAGTTGAGCTAAGAAATTCACCATCTTTTGTGTAGCACAAAGGCTCATTACCATATTCACAAGCCACCATCCTAGGTCATGCATCCACAGCCTCACACTTTAGTCTATATTCATTTTCATATTATCCTCACTTCTATGCCTAATTCATCCAAGTGGTCTCTTACCTTCAGGCCTTTTGAATACAATTTTGTGTGTATTTCTCTACTCTTCCACCGATACTACATGCCTGCCCATCTTACCCTCCTTCACTTGATAATCCCAATATTCTGCAAAATGTATACATGCAGCTCTTCATGTTCTCCAGCTTTCTGCTATATACATATTCTCAGTATCCTATTCTCAAAACCCTTCTACCTGTGTTCTCTCTTTAGGGTGAGATCAAGTTTCATACCTACACAGAACAGCAGGCAAAGTTGATTACTTTCCATACAATACGTACAATTCTCTGTATGATGAAGCCCCAACTATTCCATTAATTAATTCATAACATTATTGGACCTCCTACACGATTTTATAAGAAACTCAAATTTACTTCGTCGACAGAAATGTATGAAAAGTAAAACCAATGACCGATTCGATGTTACTAAACATCAATCAAATTTTAATTTTAATTTTATATATGACTTGTTATTGTTTTAAACAACCTACTTATTGTATTCTTGTGCAAATTAACTTAAATGATTTATAACATTGTATCAAATTTTACGTACTGCAGTTCAATGGTGTACGATTGTTGAAGTGTGGCCAAAACATGTAGCAGAACTATACTGAGCATTGTCCT